CTCTCTCTCTCTCTCTCTTTCCTGCCAGGAACTGTGTCCAGAGCCTGGTCACTCTCCGAGGCTGGGGAAGGAGGGCAGCTGCCTTCAGTATTTCCGCTGCCGGGGGAAGAGGCTGCTTCCAGAGGCCCGCAGTGGGGAGCTGGAGGGGCTGGGGTCCTCGGAGTCCAAGCTGAAGAGGTCCCTGCCGGTGCGTAGGATCTGCTCCTCCAGCTTCTTGTGCCGTTTCATGTCCGAGAGGACCTTGTCCAGGCGGGCCTCCCGCTTCTGGCTCCGGGCTGAGCTTCCTGGAAGCGGGGCAGAGGCAGGCAGAAAGTCAGGGGCAGGGAAGGGACGGGTGGTGTGGACCAGACCTGCCCGGGCCTAACTAGTCTTTCAGGGAGCTAGTGGGCTATCCCAGCTTCCAGGTCTCTGGCACAGAGGCTCTGAGTGCAGGGCTTGGGTCTCATCAGAGGTGGGCTCCCTCTCTCTCTCTCTCTCTCTCGGTGACGCTGGTACATCTGAATTAGGACACGGTACCAATCCTGTGAAGGAGCCCCGGTGGCACTTGGTGACGTTGGGCTGCGATCCTCAAGGTCCACAGGTCGAAACCACCAGCAGCTCCTTGGGAGAAAGATGGGGCTTTCCATTCCCGTCATACAGTCTGGGAAGCTCACAGGGGCAGTTCGACCCTGTCTGATAGGGGCGGTAGGAGTTGGCATTGCCTTGATGGCAGGGAGTGACCGGTAATGTGCAGATGAGGGGCAGCAAGTCCACAGCCCCCAGGGCGGGCCCAGAGGCTCTGGGGTGAGCAGCGGGAAGGAGAACGAAGGGGCCTCCAGGAATTTGGGTTTCTCCCTCCAAGTGGAATGGACACTTAGAGAGTGACGGGCTCTGTATTTTAAAGTATCATTCTGGTAGCTGAGGCAGGAGGCAGGGAGACCAGATCCATAGCCACCTGCAGAGACGATGGTGGCTTGGATGAGGGGGGCGCCCTAGGGGCACAGTGGGCTGTGATCCCAAAGGCTGGTGGTCGGAACCCATCAGCTGAGCTGCTCTGTGGGACACACACGAGGCTGTCTGCTTCTCTTCAGCGTACCCCCCCACGGTCCTACCCCATCCCATCGGGTTGCTATCCCCTGAGTGGGCAGTGGGATTGGTTTGGGTTTAGTTGGGTGCTGACTCTGAGTGAGACCGGTGGGGAGGGCCGGGTTTTGAGGAATCCGGAGTTCAGAGACTTGAGGGCGGGTAAGACCAGGGCCCATGTGAGGGGCCTAGGAGAGCCCAGCGGGCGGCAGTCCTGAGGAGGAAAGCCGTCTTCCTGGAGTGAGGATGGGAGCAGGACTCCCAGAGCTCTCAGGATGTCGGCACTCGCCTCGGGTCTCACCCACCACTCCCAAGTGACAGAGCTAGGCACAGGGCGGGTCTCCAAGCCGGGGCTTGGTCCTCAGGGAAGAGGCGAAGCAGAGACAGACACCAGCGAGGGAGGGCTGCGCAGCGGGGAGCCATGGGAGCAGAGTGCATTTGCAGAAGGCAGAGTGATGCCTGAGACTGAAAAGAACACCCCCACCCGACCCCCCAGGGATCTGACCACTGAGCGGGTGTCCGGTGGCCCTGCAGTGCGGGGCTGGGAGTGGACTGGGGGCTAAAGCAGGTGTGCAGCGGCTTTAAGAAGAGGAGACCCTGACCATACTCTTGAGATGTTTGATTGTGAAGGGGAGAAGCAGGGGGCTGCGGGGAGTTGGAGTGTGTTTCTGTATAAGGGGTTTCAAAGAGGCAGTGGGAAACTTTTCATGTTTCCATTTAATGTGCCCTGCAAACTTTTTGAAGGCAGTAGTGACGAGCCCACTGGAACGACCTAAAACCACTGCTCTAGGATGGTAAGGAGAGGGTCCAGAGCCCAGGCGGGTGGGTGAGTGTGCAGGGCCCTCCCCCCTACAACAGGCCGAGCATGTGGGTACGGCAGGTGGAAGAGGATGGGCCATTCTGGTAAAAAAGTGCTAAGGGGTCTTAAAGGGGGTTAGAAGCCCCAGTGGCTTCGTGGTCAGATGTTGGCTGCAGTCCGCAAGGTCAGCAGTTCGAGACCACTCGCCATTCTGTAGCAGAAAGGCAGACCTTTCCAGTCCGGAAGAGGGACAGTCTGGGAAGCTCACAGGGGCGGTTCTACCCTGTCTGATCGGGTCGCTGGGAGTCGGCATGGAGTCAACAGCAGTGAGAGAGTCGCCGGGGGATGGAGGAAGGGGAGAGGACAGAAGACACACAGTAAAACTACATGCCAACAAAGCTTAACAGCAAAAAAGCACGAAACAGTTCATTCCGGGGAGGGCGCGAGGGATGCGTGTGTGTCAGGGCTTGCTGCGGCGCCACCAGCACACTGGGATTTTTGGCAGCCGCACTGCAGGTGGGGGACAGATGTGCGCTGAGCTAGGCTGACGGAGGGCAGTTTTAAGGACCTGCAAAGGAGAGGCAGGTGAGGGGAAGAAGAAGAGTCGAAGGGGGTGATTATGAAGGAACCTCGGCAGGTACGGTGGGGATGGAGGCGAAGGTTGACATACTTAGAAAAACAAGCTGGGACGAGGCTGGGCGGCCTGCAAGCAGCTTGCTTGAGACTCAGATTTCAGAGGGACCACCACCTTCAAGGAGGATCAGACTGAGAGTCGGACCACGGGCTCCAGGCGGAACACAGTGGCAGTGGCTGAAGGTCGGGAGGAAACAAACCACTGGGACTTGAAGCGAAAGGCCAGGGGATGGCACAGGCCATCTGTAGGCATCCCGACACGGTCAGGGGTCAGCGGAGAGAGGAAATACTTGAGAAGCTGAAACTGGCCAGGCTGGAGAGCCGGCGAGCTGAGGGCAGGGCTCATGAAAGGCTCATGATGCTTTCAACGTGGCCAAGAGGACAGCGCCACTCTGGCCTCTGGGCCCCGCGATGGGTGGCTTATGAGAGAAAAGTTGGCCTCGACTGGAGAGGGGATGGAAGGAGGCTCTGTTTGTCCCCCACCCCCACCCCCACACACACACACACACACACACACACACACACACACACACACACAGAGTTTCCAGAGGACAGTCCATTTCTGTGTGGACCAGAAGGCCAATGTTCAGGGAAGATAAAGGATGAGAGGGCAGGACAAGTGTACATTCTACAGCAGCAGGTGGGATGGGGAACTGGGTCCGATGAAGAGATAGACAAGTAGCCACGGAGGAGGGCCTGGACAATACTAGATGACCAGGAAAACGTGGACTTCTGGGGATATGGGTGATAAATGGCAGGAGATGCCCTGTGGGGAGTCCTGAGATGGTCCCTAAAGGAGCGAGGGATGATGCCATTGAGCCAAGGTTCTCGCACGTTGCTAGAGGCGATCAGACAACCCAGGCACCCAGCCAAGGGCTCCTTTCGGAAGGCAGTTTGGGGGTTAGCAGAGACCCTTCACCTCCCAGCAGCGCTCCCCACTTGCCTGTACCTGGGGTGCGTCTCCGGTCAATCAGGGAATCCTTTGGTGTCATTGGCTCATCATCAAAGTCAAACTCCGTTGGCACGTGCGGTCTGGGGCAGGGAGACAGGCGAGAGAGGGTGAGAAGGGATCCCCAAAGACCCGCCCTCCCTGCCTGATCTTCTTCCTCTCCTGCTTTCTCTCTTCTCCACTTTCCAAGCCCCTGGCACCCACCTTTTTCACTCCCCGCACGCACCCCACCCCTCCATCAGAGGCATAGCTCTAGGAACCAGGGCGGGAAGGTCCTCACTTTTCCTCTTCCTCCTCTTTGGGCTCCGGCTCCTCATCGGATCGCTCCTCTTCGCTCGGGGCCTCTGGGGTGGGCGCCCGGCGGGGCAGGATCTCGGCCTGCAGCTCCAGGGTGCCTTGGGCGGCCAGCAGCTCATAGAGCCGCCGGATCTCCGCCGGCGGGGGCGTCCAGGCCGGCCCGTGGGCGGGCAGCTCCACCTCCTCATCGCTGCAGGGCACGCACCAGTCCTCGGCTTCCCCCTCCGCGGGCTCCTCCCCGCCCGCTGCGCGGGGGGCTTCTTCCTGGGCCTCCTGGGCCCCGGGCCCCTCTCGCTTGGCCTCCTCCCGGTCTCCTTCCCTTTGCTCCCGGGCCGTAGTGACTTTAGTCGGGGGACCTCCGGTGTCCTCCACGGCCAGAGCCTGGAGGCCGGAGGTCACTTCCCCTTCTTCGGCCAGAGGCGCCGCCGTGGTGGCCCCTGGGTCTCCATGAACCCGAGTAAGGGACATGGGCCACTACGCCGGGGGTCCACCCCCCTGCCCCCAAAGGATGGGGCTCCCCGGGGTCGCGGGAGGGTGTCCCCAGCCAACCAGGCTCCACTGCGGCCCCTGCAGGAGTGAGACGGCCGGTCCCCGGGAGGGGGTGCTCAGCCGCGCCGCCCCCCTCCCGTATCCGATTTTCCCCGCGAGTCCGGGAGGCCGCGGAGAGGGGCGGGCCCACACTTCTCGCCCCTCCCCACAACCGGCCCGGGCGCCCCGCTCCGCCCACCTTCCGGTTCGCGGACGCGCCACTCCGGCCGCCGTAAGCACCAGGCGCTAAGACCCGCCCCGCCGGCTGCGAAGGGTCACAGGACGCAGGCGCAGAGGGAGGCCCCGGAGGCCCCGCCCTACGCCAAGCTCCGCGAAAGAGGAACGTGTAAGCCAGTTTGCACATGCGCAGAGGGCACAAGCAGCTTCTCCC